CATTGTACAGTGGCATTAAGTGGCGTAATGTGCACCTCTGCCTACCCCTTCGGGGATAAGAAGGCGTGATGTTATGTTATGTTAAATAGAAAATGAACCTGGTTTAAGGGTTACACATAAACCTGCGATGCGATTTCGTGCGACAAGGCGTCTCCCAGGGTGACCATGCCTTCGACGACCGTCAACTGTACTAAACGTATTTTAAATTAGGTCGTGACATCGATCATAAAAAGAAGTGTGCACTTATGTTATTGCTTATTTTTAATGGGGGATAATCATCGAAAGACTTCTCCCGTTGGGTGAGGCAGGAGGGAGTATCAGACTCTTATTGACTAAAAACCATCCCGTTCTTTCTCCTGCACGTCGAGCCGGAGCCCCGGTAACCCTTTAAGTTCTCCGCGACTACAAATCGACATCAGCCCTGTTGGGCCCCATCCGTGATGGTCTAATGGCTCTTTGAGGCGCGCGCGGAACGCTCGGCGCCGTACGCTCGGGTCTGTTTCTGGTCGGACGGGGAGCCACCCATGCTCGCCGTCCGCAGACCCGCGCTTACGGTGGCCGGAGATCGTCTCGCGATATTGTATACAGGAAAAAGAAACAAAGAAGATTTTGGGAACATAATATTTTGATGCGCGATGCGAATCAATTCGCAAGTTCTTGCGATGCGTACAAGTACAGTTTTGTGTACAAGCCCTAATATCACAACATTAAAACATGATTAGATCGTTAACGAACAAAGGAATCGCCTAATGGTAAGCAATCAATATCAGGAACTATTAATTAAACAAAAAAAAAGCTGCTCCACGCTATGTTTTTCTCCTGTGTCGTGGGTGCGTTTACAAACATACAAGTTCATAACACAAATAGTTGCTCCGTTCGAGAATCAAACCCGTACACGTTGCACGCAAGCTGGTTGCCCAGCCACCGCACCAACCGTGCAGTCCAGCAGATTCGGACTCCGGTAACCTCACTCACACAACGCAAACATTGGTTCACGTAGAGCCTACTGCTTACAGGAGTTGCAGCGGTTTTGGGAGGTTGTGGCGAGTTTGCCCCAAAGAAAAGAGTCTACTGCATATTTTTTTATGGCATAAGCCGGTAAACGAGCAGACGGATCACCTGATGGTAAGCAATCGGCGTCGCCCATGGACACCTGGAATACCAGAGGCGTTACAAGTGCGGTACAGGCCTTTTGGGATTAGGAGTTTGAGGATCGTTGGGGATTAAGGGATTGGGGAGATTGGGGAAGGGGAGGGTAATTGGGCCTCCGGTAACCTCACACGACGAAATACAACGCAAGCGTTGCTTCACGTCGGTTTTCTGCTCGGCCGTGGTATCACTCCGGTCGGGCCGGCCCATTCGTGCCGAAGCATGGCTATCCCGCACTTAAAATTATATGCACGCACGCGTCGCACGCATATATTCCCACGCAAATGTTCAGCAGTGGACGTGTTGTGGCTGATAGCTTGATGTTACTCACATTAAGTTTCGCCAGCAGCACCAGGTTCTTTCCTTTCATATCAGCTGTAGCTGTGGACATGTTGTTCATCTTGCACTGTAGCGACAAACGCTCGGACTCATACTCCGCTAGTTGACGGAGGTGGCCGTCGCATTGTGATGCCTGGAGATGGAATCAAACAAAACATTATTAGGAGGATTGTACAGATTCAATAAATGGTTTAAGCGTAGTCAAGGGTAAATTATGATTCACTAGCGACACGCCCCGGCTTCTCACGAGGACAATACGCATGTATTATACATATAAAACTACCTTAAGAATCGCTCTATCTGTTAAAAAAAAACACATCAAAATCCGTTGCGTAGTTTTAAAGATCTAAGCATACCTACATAGGGAAAGACAGACGGCGGATAGCGACTTTGTTTTATACTATGTAGTGTTTTTTATTTTATTATGGCACAAGCCGGTAAACGAGCAGACAGATCACCTGATGGTAAGCAATTGGCGTCGCCCATGGACACCTGGAACACCAGAGGCGTTACAAGTGCGTTACCGGCCTTTTGGAGATTAGGAGGACCGTTGGGGATTCATGAATTGGGGAGATTAGGGAAGGGGAGGGTAATTGGGTCTCCGGTAACCTCACTCACACAACGAAACACAACGCAAGCGTTACTTCACGTCGGTTTTCTGTGGGGCCATGGTATCACTCCGGTCGAGTCGGCCCATTAGTGCCGAAGCATGGCTCTCCCACACTTAAAAAAAAAGAATAGGATAGTTAATGGCCAAATATGGTCCAAAAGGCGTAAATTAAGCTAACACGATGAATTTAATTAGGTACATGCAGAAGGGCATCAAAATCTGTCTGAGAGATTTCGAGAAATTATAGCTAAAAGCCCCGTTCATGGAGTAGCCAAAACAGCGGCTCGGTTCCGGGTAGGACAAAATATTTTACACCGTGATATCTATTTCGTTTCTTTCAATTTTATTTCCGTCCCGCGGCAAAACAAATTGACATAACTTTCGATGTATAAAGTAAAAACAAAATAATAAAGATTAAATTTTTTTTTAATGTAAAAAGCAACATGGAGCTATGCACATGAAACACTGGACGTAAATTTATAGTGTATAGCTATTGTTTGGTTTTCTACAGTTCTCAGTTGACGAATATATATAGGTACCTAGGACAAGTGATCCAGCTAGGTAACTCCAATTTCGAGAAGGAGGTCAATCGTCGAATCCAACTTGGATGGGCAGCGTTTGGGAAACTACGCAACATTTTCTCGTCCAACATACCTCAGTGCCTCAAGACGAAAGTCTATAATCAGTGTGTGTTACCAGTGATGAACTATGGAACTGAAACGTGGTCTCTCACCGTGGGCCTTATAAAGAAGTTCAAGGTCGCTCAGTGCGCTATGGAAAGGGCTATGCTCGGAGTTTTTTTGCGAGATCGGATAAAAATCGCCGACATAGCCCAGCGGATTAGCAAGTTGAAGTGGCAGTGGGCAGGGCACATAGCGCGGAGTATCGACGGCCGCTGGGACAGAAAGGTTCTTGAGTGGAGGCCACGTACCGGCAAGCGCAGCGTAGGACGTCCATCCGCAAGGTGGACAGACGACCTCATTAAGGTCGCAGGGAACCGCTGGATGCAGGTCGCTTCCAACCGGCCTATCTGGAGGTAATTGGGGGAGGCCTATGTTCAGCAGTTGACGTCCTGTGTCTGATATGATAATGATGATGATTCAGGGACTGGGGAAGGGGGGGAGGGGTGATATTAGGCTTCCCCACGACGACACAACGCAACCGTTGCTTCACGTCGGTGTTTTGCTCAAGCATACCTCTCCCACATTAGAGGGTAATTATGGTAAAATGAAAAAAATGCTAGAGTTTCTTTGCTCGCAAGTGTATTTTAAAATGTGCACCTTTGTTAACACCTTGGCTGGTGTATCAAGGCATCATATTTTGTGTGTATAATTAGGTACCCATTATCTACCTTCTTATCCAGGGTCCCTTGTAGCCTGTCGATCTGTTCCTGCATCAGTTTCACCTTGGAAGACAGGAACTTGCATACATTCTCTATTGTGGGCCGGTCTGGAATTGTAAATTTAAATAGTTAGTTGTTACTGGGACAACCGCTAAGTCTCAGTTTCAAGCCCAATGTCAGGGAGTCTTATTAGATGTTTAAGTTTTGCTTTTAGCGTTTGACATAACATTGATATGTCACGCCTTTTATTCCCGAAGGGGTAGGCAGAGAGAGGTGCACATTACAGCACTTAATGCCACTATATAATGTAACACCCACTTTTCACTATTTATGTTATGAGTCCCATTCCCATGTAATAGGGGGTGAGCCTATTGCCATATACCGGGCACATTTCCAGAATCCGTGTTACTACTGAGATTTTTAAAAACCCAGTAATACTTTGTCCGACCCGGGAATCGAACCCGAGACCCCTTGCCCGGCAGTCGCACTCGCATTTGACTTGTGCAAAAATTATGTACCCCACTTTTGTATGAGACTTTTAACTGGGAAATAGAAGATATTATATTTAATTATGTATAATATACCTTATACAGATAACACCTCTTCATTTATAAGGAGAATAAAAGAGATAGTATGTACGATTTACCTTTCAAAAAGGACTGCGGCAACACCTTCTCTTTAACATTAACAGACACAAAAGCATACAAAAATTCATCATCATCTCTAATTCTACCAACATTCAAATTGGCACAACAGTTGCAAGTATTCAAACTCTTTGGCACAACCTCTTCACTATCACAATTAACAAAGCTATCAACATCAGAACTTAGCGTTCCATTTTCAATTTTCCCGCTTTTATGTTCCGGAGTTGTTTGTGATTTTTTCTTTTTTTGTGCAGGCTTTGGTGGAGGCAAGGGTGAGTCTGTGTTAGGCTTATGGCTTTCACAATTATGTTTTTTTATTTTATGAACTGGGGACAAGGTGAGGTTCGGTGAGAACTCAGAGAATATGTCTTGTTTTTGCTGAAAATCAAAGAAAAATAATAAATATTTGTCAGTAATGGTAATAATTTGTAATATTAAGATTGGAGCGGCTCTTAACCTGGCTATGGTACTTCAATTATTCGATTAGAAGCAACTTTTCCAATCAAAAGCATTTCAAACTGTACTTCTGGGTCTGGTACCTACTTTTTATATACTATATACTATTGGGCATTTTCAATTTCAGAAAATTGTTAATAACAGCTTGATGTAATATAACACCTAATATTTATCGGTTGTGTTAAAATCCCCTGTTATGGAATGGTTATCATTGCTCAAAAAAGTTGAAAATAATAATAGAATAACAGATTTTTATGAATTACAATTTATTATTGCTAAATAAAATTGAATCGTGGTTATTGTGGTGGCTTCTATTCTGTCATGTTTTAATACTTTCGTACACAATTATGGGCAAACAGCAACAAGTAAATAGAAAATGTTCAAAATAATTTGAGTAAAAAATGTTAACTTAAAACAGACTAATTTTAGTCTTAATTTCATGTAAGTACGTAATTTTAACGATAATTCTTTCAATTATCATGAAAAAGTAGGGTAAGAATCACACAACAACAAAACAGTAAGAAAACCAACCATAGCTTGCTCAATCTCCTTCATTAAACTTTCTGTTTTCTTCTCAAGTTGTTTGTTAAGTTTCTTGAACTCATCTTCACGCGCTAACAAGTCCAAAGAGTCCATTTTATTGTTATATTTATAACTTTAACGATAAGAAAAACAAGCAATGACGTTTTCACAGTTACAACTACTGATAAACTTACTAAGTTAAGGAGTCATTCTTTTATGTAGTGTCGTAATACTTACATCGCCTTCGCTATTTAGTTGGGTTTTAATGTCATCACACAAACTCCGTTGCTATGGTTACGTGATGCAATTTGATCAAACAAAGTCCCATACTATTCGTTTGTGCACTCAATAGAATTACTTTTAAAGCACAAATCGCTAGTAATGGACTTAATAGAGAGATTGTTTATTTGTCATACCGTATTTAAAACCAAAAATAATTAATAATTTAGAATAAATACCTTCACATTGCTGTATTATTTGGTGTTAGTGAGAACATGCTGCCATCTAGTGACCAAGCTGTGACAACACAAAAGACCTCGGTCGTGTCAAAAACAGCTGTATTCTAACCAATCAGAAGAGCCGTACGATTGTCAATATGTTTTCTTTGTTACATACACACACATACAAGTACTTGTTGACACATTGCTTTGTTTCCCATATGATTTAGATTGGAAAGATCCGAATATTTATCGCCAAATAAATATGATATACAGATAGCTGGGTAGAAAAACACATGATTAGGTTTAAAATTGTAAAAAAATATCGCTTGGATTACCTTAAAATCTTATCAAGGTCGTTACACTATAAGCGAGAGGACGGATGAAAGAAAGAGAGGGAGATACAAATTAAAGTGTGCTACAGAGATTTTCAATCGATTTACCAATGAGAACGAGCTGAACCCAGCTGACATGTTAGTGTGCTATTGTCGCGGGCGGATATTGGACGCTCGCTCTTGCGACAACCGAATTTGCATTAAAAAATCTCAAATTGGACTGCGTTTTCGCGTCCGGGCATTGATTAAACAGTGTAATAATGTATTTTAAGAGAAAAAGAAACGATTACCGGAGTGTTATATTATAGCCCAGGTGTTTGGAAGTGGAGTTGAACGACTGAGTTTGCGGCCGTAAAAGGTAATTCTGTTCTATCATTAACATATGTTTGGCTATTTCTTTTTTCCTGTTTCGTAAATATGTATCGTAATCCTGCATTTTAGAAAGTTAATTGACATGTACATGTGTGTTATAACGCGATTAATTTATGGTGTTAACTGTAATACTCGAATTACTAAGTTGCAAAGAGTATTTTTAAATCGGTAGTGTTTTCAATGGATAGAACTTTATTATGTTCTTATTTATTGCGTAAATAAGTTAAGAAATACAATACGTTGTTAGAAATTAAATGTTAATTATGGTGTAGTTTAAAATAATGATAATAAAAAAATCAGCTGTTCAGTGTTACGCCCTCAAAAGTGCTTTGTGGTAGGTATGTTTTTTTTTTAATAAACAAGTTTCGACTGGGCTCAGGTCGTTTCGGGTTCGGCTTGTACCGTTAGTGATGTACAAGTATCGATTTTTTTTGTATATCGATGCTCTTACCGTAACCTTTTCTTTGTTCTCATTCTATAGACTTGCAATGTGGTAAGAATCATTTTGATGCGTGGAATTGCGTATAAGATTAATTTATAATGATGTCATAATCTTCTTTTAGGATTTTTTTAATATTATATATTACAGTGTCTTTTTGCTACAACATTCGTTATGAAAATCATTATGATAATTGCATGTTTAGTTCTGTTCCTTATCGTAGGCAGAATTTATTGTGAATAGATCGATATTATATTATTGCAGTCACGTTGAAATAAAAAAAAATATGGCCTCACTACCTATCATTATTATGACATCAAAAACTACCCCCACGTTTGGGCTATACAATAGGTAATAACATATTAGTAGGTATGATTTCATAGCTTAAAACTATCGGAAATACCTCCAGGTTGATTTAAAATGTGCAGCTGTACAGCAAAAGAGGCATGAAATATGTGCTTTTAAATGTAATTTAATTTCTTCATATCAAAGTGCCATAAACCATTATATTTCTCACTGAATTGCCCATACTGTGTTATTAGGTACCTACATACTGCATTAAATTGTCATTACTTTTCCATTACACACACTGTATTACAAACTACAAAGTCACTGCTGGGAATTCAATAATTAAATAGAATAGGTAGAACAGGTAGATCGATGCATAAACTTATTTCAAATTGTATTCTAAATTTTGAATGTAACGGAAAACAACATGGCGTGTGTTGCCGCATCAAAAAATTCACTTTCACACAATGTTCGCGTGTTTGAACACACGGCGTTATATACTTTCTAGTTTTTGTGCGTTGCATAGGGAAAAATATGTTTGTTCATAGCTGAGGCTGCGTTTTCATATTTTATGATATATTGTTTGAAGATTGTTGTTTTTTTATTAAAACGAATTAACTCGTCGAGTACCGGTTTTGTAGACACAATTATAGAACAATAGGTTGCGGTCACCGGTGACCGCTTGGTGTTTGACAGTTTAACTGTTTCTTCCGTTCACAATAGTTTTTGGTCAACCCAAATCGTTTACTCATAAGAGAAACAATATTTGTGTGGGTAATATCAAAACCAGTATCCATACCATTTAGTAACATTTAACAAAACATTAAACCTTATTGTTATCAATAACCTCTTTTTACAACACAACCTAACATAACACGAAACTGCAAAGTCCCCTATATTGCCAACAAAACACAAAAACTTGTCAATACAAAATAAATCCCATACAAAATGGCCTCCGTACAAATAAGTGTATCGTTGTGTCGGAAATAGGTACAGGGCGTCACGTCATTTCCCGACTCAGTCAGCGTTGTTGCTATGCGTTTATCTATTACCATTCGCTGCACTCCCTAGGTAAACGAAATTTCGAACGTCCCTTGTAACATCATTCGTCGCGCTCCTCTGCGGTTGTCTCAGTGAACCAATGGAACCAAATGCCACAAGTCTAGTCTTTGTGAGAGTCAGTCACGAGATTGGGCATTTCTAGTTTCTAGTACAGAAAACATGTCAAGCTATTATTTTAGACTATGGAACAACTAATGGTTATGTTGATTCGTGAATACTGGTGTGTTTAGGAAAGTAGGATAAACCTGTTATTGTTGTTCTGTTTTATCACCTATATTTGTACAAAATTTATCGTTATCAACTCAGCTGTTTAGATGTTACGTCGTCAAGATGAGTTAAATCACTTTTGTAACGTCAACAGACGGTTTTCGCAATTGTATTAAGTTCCTTAGTACTATATACTTAAAACTTATTATAATTTCATATAGTCAGTGGGTCATCCACTCATAAGTTTAAAAAAGTCCTTGAATCCTGATACGTGATGATCTTTAGATATGATTGCTATTATTGCCGTATCACGATTGAAAATGCGTGTTATTACTCATTATCGTTGACATAAATTTTCCTATTTTATCTAATTTCATCAGTAATCAGTTTCAGAACATAATATTGGTATGAATACATAGCATTTTTTAATCATTCTATGTTGCAAATATATACTTTGGAATTATGAGAATAAAGTTAATTTTTGTCTCTTTTTAAAAACACAATGGTGACTGGCGTAGGAATCAGAAGCAAGAGTGTCAATTATGTGAGAAATTTCGTTTTGATTTTGGGGTCGCAAAAGAATTTTTGAGCCGATCCCTTCACATGATACTAATAACACAGATGACGATAAAGCACCCTCTTTTGCGTTCTCTGCTTACCCTCCTCCCGCTTCACCCTCCCACAAGGCCACAAGAATATGCGGAAGTATAATTTTATCAACTGCGCATCAGTAGCAAAATTTTCTAACCTCGAATGTGATCCTTATTGCTACGGTATAAAGATAATATAAGTAAATGAAAATTTTCGTACACGCTCAGAAATTATTTTAGGCTATTTGTTTGAGCAACATTCTTAAATTATAGGAGACATTTAATGGGCCCTAATTATAATGTTGATACAAAAGAGTTTCACTTTTCGTGTCCGGCCCACTTTTCTATAATTTCAATAACTAGTGACGCACCTCCAACCGGAAAACGTAACGGTAAAAATATCGATAAAACGTATTTGCACGATTAATAATCGATGTTTACTAATTGGTTAAAATATTTTGTTAATTATAAACAGCTGTGGTTACGTACGAGCATTGTCAAGGCGTTCGAAAGAATAATAGCAACTAAAATAATGCATAATACTTACGACTAACACGCTCATTGTAAGCTAATTCAATTTATAAATGATAATTTGAAACACGACACGACTGCCATTGTTCTTTTGACGGAAGATTTGGGAACTAAAATTATGTCTTTAGATACAATAGCCGATGACAATCCATTGCTGGATGATGAGCCTCGTCTACATAAGAGGGGTTTATCATTATCTCCGCGCTTGGTTGGGGATCACAGTATAAAACGTTCAGGTTTATCAGAGAGCGCTGCTGCACGGTCTCTGTCTAATTTGTAGTCCCTTTGTCGGGTATACGATACCCGCGACAAGAGTAGGGGTGCTGACAAATGTATTCTACTTTGTCGTCACCATATAGCAAGTTCGGATACGCCTGATTTGCTTTGTATGCAGTCTTTGCTTGACAACTAACCTTGGCTTAAATTACGGACATATAGAATTGACACAGTTCTACCAATGCAAATATATAACTCCATTTCGTACAAACAGCTGATTTTAAATTCTAAACCAAACCGTGTTAAGTTTAATTATGTATAGCAAGAACTTATTGTATTGAAAATGGCGGAAATGTATGGCCAATTAGTGTTGTTGTAAAATTTTTGCGAAGTTTTTAATGTTTTTGTGTTAATTGGGTGTCAGTGTGAAAGGTTTGTGTGTGATTCATTAATGTGTTAGGCTGAGTAGAAAGTCTTACTTTATTTAATTTGTAAATCCGGACGCATTTGACATAAAAATTTCGCGGCACTTATATACGTAATGTATCTCGTGATGCGAGTGTCTATGGGCGGCGTCAGTTTATCCGTCTGCTCGTATGCTAACATAACATCACGCCTTTTATCCCCGAAGGGTTAGCTAGAGGTATACATTATGTCACTGTACAATGTAACACCCACTTTTCACTATT